ATAAAAAAGTTTTTTATAGTAGGAAGTAGAAAACTGTTAGGCGATTAGGTGAGGCGAGCCTCAAAGGGCGCCTTGTCACCTAGGCGTCGCCATGACAACTATGATTTCAAGCTGGAAGGACTTTGAGATAAGGCTTTGAAAAAAGAACTACAAGAGAAATGCCAGAAGAGGCCTTTCTTCAACAAGTCCCTCCTTGGAAAATGGCATTGGCAGCTTAACACTGAGCCTAGTAACCTATGGAGACAGGTTTTCAAAGTGAAATATTGTTCTAGGGACTTTGGGTGGAATCCAAGCGAAGTTTCCATCTCTTATGGTTGCTTTCTATGGAAAGGGATTTCAAAAAGCTTCATCTCTTTTGGCATTTGGGATTGGTTCCTCTCTCTATTTGGGTGCAAGTGGAATCTCCTTGCCACCATGAGTAATATCTTCTATTCATCAACCTTTACATGGCCAAAGAAATAGAGAAGAATTATGTGGAGTTTTACCAGAGCGAAAATTCCTCCGATTGTTTGGGAGGATCCAAAACCCTCAGGAATTGGAGGTGTGCTTAGGAATGAAGGTCATATCATTGCTTTGTTTTCAGGTTCCATTGAAGTAGGAGACTCACTAAGAGCAAAATAGATGGCAGTATTATGGGAAGTATAGTGGGAAAAAGAGTCGCAATTGGAAAAAATAATTATTGAAGGGGATTCCAAAGTGATTTTTAGTTGGCTACATAAAAATGAAACAACTCCATGGGGTTACTATAATGAAATCAGAAAGTTCAAATGGCTGACAAGGAATATACAAGTACAAATTCAATGGGTGAAAAGAGGATTAAATGCAATGACTGATGGACTAGATAAACAGGGAAAGGACTCCCTAACCTATGATTGTATTGTTAGACAGTGTATTCCCTTAGCTCCAATCAGATTGATGTACTGATACATTTATTGTAAACGAATAAAAGTACATAATTGTTTCATGTTATCATTGATGTGTTTCTGTTTAATTACCCCTTAAACTGGACACTTATGAGACTCGTGTTAGTTTAGAATGTTCTCAGTCGTTGGATAGACTTGGGGAGTTTATCCTACCAAGGCTGACACTAATGTGCTACCAAAGAAGTTGGGGCAGCCTGTCTCGGCTGCTAGGATTAGACCCAAAGCACATGTAGTGTGTGTTTGCTTAAAGCACTGAACCCAAACCATTTTCTAGTTATGCCCTGGACCTTGGATACTGATGGGCAAAACTGGAAAATTACACATGGCCAATCAATGAGATCCTTTGGGGGTCAAAACCTGGGTATGTTGGGGCAGTCTGAGAATTCACTTGAGTGGGTGATCATAGTGATAGGATCAGCCCCTCTATCGGACAAAGTGAATGATTGGGACTGCACTCTCTCTGATGGAAACCATAACTGCCAGCAGTCGATTTCAACCGTGTTTGAGATTTGTTTTGCAAAATATATTTATATGATATATATATATATATATATATATATATTATGTTCCAAAAAAAATGTTTGCAAAAGGTTTTAATTCCTATGACCCATCCGAGTAGAGAGTGCAACATTGCACCTTGCAGTCAGGGGAGAGGTCCTTCCCTGTCGGGTAGTGTTTGATCATTGTGGGCTGAGAGGTTAAGTGTAAGAGACCGTTAAGGGTTGTTTACCTAATGGGCTATATCTTACTTAAGTCCATTATCCTTGGGCCTTCATAGGATAGCTGGACTCAGGGATCATTTAACTGTAAATGTTGGGCCTACTTTGAGCCCATACTGATGAACTCAAGGGTTCACTGCATTTAGCAGTGAATTCGGCCAGGCCTTTTCTCAGAGGTTGGGCCGAACCCATGTAGGCTTATGTGAGGTCATTGTTGGGGTCCCATGCCATACAAATTGAACCTAAATGGGCCAGAAACTATCTTGGGACATGAGCCACTTGCTTAATGGGCCTAAAGCCCAAAGATTAATTGGATTAATTAGGGTGTCACATGACTGCTTAAGCAATCATGTGACATGGGCGAATATGGGTCTAGATCTGGGTTTGGAGCACCCATTCTCATGAAAGGATAAGACCTATCTTAAGATAGAGTCCAAATCCAAATAGAGATTTGGATTACAAACCTCTTAATTTGATTAGGAGAGGTGTTCCCTAAGGATTAAGAGAGAAGAAAATCGAAGTGCTCCAGATAACTTTGTTCTTAGTTCTTTCTCTTTGCTCTTGCCTCTCTGAATTTTGCGAGAAAATTGTAGAGAAAAACCGTGCTCATCTTCCTTGTTCAATCCATACAGTTGGATTGCAGTTTTGCTGAAAACTGTGTTGCTGAACCGGCTTCATTCAAAGCTACGCCATCTTCAGTGGAAGCTGGTTTTGGGATTCAGTTTGGGCGTGAACTACTACTTTGGGAGCTACATCTGTGGAATCCATATCAGGTATACATCTCCCTTCTTTTGGTTTCAAATCTGATCTGGTTTCGGTGCAAGAACGATCCTAGAAAAATGCAATTTTTCTGAAACTAGGGAACGCGATTCCCGAAAGGCAGAAAGAAATTTTTGAAATTTCACCCAACCATCTAGCATGGTTCGGCCATCCATATGATTGATCTTACCTTCCTTCATGTATAATCTGTATATATTCTTCTCTTTGATAAAGAATATTGTTATTGATCAAGAAAAAAAGCTTGAACTCTTTTATAAGGTATTTGCTAGAAGATGGACAATGGTTCAAGAATTCATATGTCTGGTGTGACATCTGCACTCTCAGTACTTTATCTTGTTCCCCTTTTGCAATGGCAGAAGACAAGGGGAAACAGTTGCTCATTATTTTGAATTGATGGACAATGTGGTGGTAGTAACCCCAAAGTTCAAAAGGAACCTGTGCAAATGAGAAATTGATGAGGTGACTGCTCTCTTGCTAAAAATCCAAGAACAAATCTAAAATGTAGGGCACCATTTATTATGAATTTAGAGGTGGGAAAAATTGGGGGGGGGATTCAGTTACAAATGTCTCTACTGGAGAGGCTGCTATTGAAAAATTCTGTGGTTCTTTCTCTTCATACTACCAAAATAATTTCTGAAGGGATGATAACTTTTTTAACTTTAATAAAGATATATATGAGGAGGTCAAGACTGAAGCTGGTGTTAAAACCTAGATTTAGAACTTTTTCAATTTTGTGAAAATTTGAGAATTCCTATTCAGGTTATACACCAGAAAGTTGGAACCAACAGTTAATCTTTTCAGCCTACAACTTGAAGTAAATAATTTCACCAGATCGTTCAAAAGAGGGTACACAACTTTTAAAATGGTAGAATGTAAATGTAAAGAAAACTACAACATTAACTAGTATAAACATTGACTAAGTAAAATGCTAGAAAATTGGTTAAAAATTAGATTTTTCAGGGCTATGAGAACTTGAGAAACCTTCTCAGTGAATGACATAATAAGAACGTGGACAGAAGTGGCACAATCCTCTAAGGAAAAGGTTAGGGAGATGATGGAATGAAAAAAAAAAAAAAGAAAAAAAAAGGATTACAAGGTACATCTTCTCATGTACCTCCCTTTTTTTTAATGGGTAAATTTCTTAAACTACCCTTATGGTTTAACTAATTGACTAAGTACACCCCTACTGTTTGATTATTGTCTAATGCTACCCCTTCTGTTTTGGAAAATTACCATTACCGTTAAAATATTAACAGAATGGCTGAAACGTCCATTTTGCCCTCTCTTAAACACCTAAGTTTGCACCTATTTTCTGAGGCCCGGTTCATTAATTCTTCTCACCTCATTTCTCGTTTCTCCCCCCTCATCTCAGTCATTCAACATCTGTAGCCTCTCTGTTCATCATCTTCTCAGGCAAAGAACAAAGAAACACCCGATGGCGATGAAGCCACTTTTCTAACCTTTTTCTTGTATATCCTCATTCAGTTAAGTCATTCTCATATCCCTTTGCCCTTGATTCGTTAAAACATTAAGGGAGGAATCAGGTTTTGTCGCCCCTGATTACTGCTGCTGTGTTGACTGTGTCAAGAGGTGAGACAAAGGTGAAAAGTTGATATTGGGTCATTGTTTCTGTTCGATGGGGAGTGAGAAAGGGAGAAGAGAAACCGGAATTGTATTTTCCTGACGTGGTGCTGGTTTTTGTGTAGCTCCCAGATCATTTCTTCATTGGAAAATCCTTTTATTACTCCATCATGCACTAGCCAATCCACGATGACCCCCCGGCGATCAGATCCCTGTCGAAGAGCCCATGAATTCCACCAATGAGGATGAGACAATCCCTGGAGGATCAGCTCAGACTAGGGAACGAGGAGAAGTCTCGTTAATGTTAGGAAAATACGATTCCAATTTCTCATCTGAGTAATTCTTTGCTCAAAAAGATCACGGAATGGAAACGCCCACCAAGAAATAAAATAAAACCAAACTTTGATGGGAGCTAAATGGCCAATCAAGGGATGGAAGGTATTGGAAGTGTGTTTAGAGATTCTTTAGGCAGGTTGGTGACCTTGTATTCAGGACCTATAGGGGTTGGAAACTCACTGAAAGCTGAATTGATGGCCCTGCAGGGTTTAATAATTGCAAAGCAGTCCAAGTTCCAGCAATTGGAAGTAGAAGGGGACTTAAAATTGGTTATATTTACAGGCAGGCTTTCAGGAAAACAGAAAGCCTCTCAAGAAAGTTAAACATCACCTTCAGCTGGGTAAGGACTGCAAATGGGATGGCAGATAGCAAAACAGGGAGTTCACAGACAACAATTGTTTTGGGCAGTAATGTAATTCTTTTTGTTACTTTGGGCATTGCTTTCTGGTCCTTGTACAATTGGGTAGCTGGTGTTCCAACCTGTTGCATCTTAAATTATAAATTCATAAATTTCCTTTTCTGATGAAAAAAAAGAGAGAGAGAAGTTAGAAACCAAAATATCACTCTTAAGTCTTAAATGTTAAAATAAAAACAGAACAAAGGAAAAAGGGAAAAAAACTAAAGGAGGTTAAATATATAGCTGATAGTAGAGGATTCTGACCTCAAACTCCTCTATAGATGATAAAGACTTCCACAGATCAGAATCAGAAATTGTTTGCTGCAGAGCATGCTCAGCAGCAACATGAATTTCTGCAAGTCTCATAGGCCGATCAAGTGAGCTCTCGAAGTTTCCTGGAGAAGAGTTGGTTCGTGACATAGAACCCACCTGTACTTTCTTTGGGGACATCTTCAAAGGTGCATCTAAACCTGAGCTGTCAATATACCAACCAAATGAGGGCTAAGAAAATTTACAATACAATGAATACAGGAACAAAGATCAATAACAGGTAAAAAAAGGCAGATGATAGTACTACATGTCTACTTCATTACCCATCAGAAAAACTTAGCCGACCATCAGACATTTCAAACATATTTCCAGCAGAAAGAGAAGCCCTCCGCCGATTAGCCTCCCTTAGAAGTACAGAAGGTTCCAGAGGCAATGGTTTTCTCTGAATACCAAAGGGCTTTACCCTGAGATTTGCTTGAAGAATCACCTGCACAGCTAAAAATGTGAGACTCCAACTGAGATAGTACAACCACATAGAAACCCAACAGAAAATATCGGTTTCTTTGGTGAAAGATACAGGTAGCAGCTTTAATTAAGAGATAAACATGAACAGAAAATATATTATTCAAAAATGTAGGTAAGTCCATACTACAGCAGAAAATGAAATTAGGACAACAAATTTTGAACTTATAACATGTTAAACTTGCTAGTGGTAGCTTGTCATAAACTGTAGGTCACAAGCCCAGATAAGGGAGGACAGTTGTGTCAGGTTGGAAGCAGACATAAAAGCCTTTAGCCAATCCAATATGAATAACAATCCTGAATCATTTTCTGCAGTGCTAGGGCATTCTGCAGATGATGACGTGCTGCATTGGCACCCAGGTGGAATGATACAAGAGTCACATTTAGACAGAAAACATGGCTCTTGAATCTTGATAGAGCACAAGGACAGGACAGGATTCCTGTAGCTGAACCCAAATAGTTGGGTTTAAGAACGAGTTGAATTCAGTTATATAACAGGTTAAGTTTGGCTGTGATCATGTATTGCTAGTAACCTCATCAGTATACCTCTAATGCAGGACTAGAACAATTACCTATGACGATGTAGATGAAACTTATCCATTCAAGACTATTAAGCTATGATAACAACAATTGGCATTATATTTAGACTTACCCAGATGCTAATGCACAATTTAGAATAAGGAAACAATCAAGTTTGCCTAAGAATAGTGAAAGGCAACATAAAGAAAAGAGAGACCTAAAAAAATATTCTGGTCCCAATGGTTCGAAATTCAATTATATGTCTGTGGGAGGAGAGACAGATTAAGGACAGGGATGCAACTTGGGTGAGGCTCAAGTTGAGCATCTCCTAGATACCTTAAAGTTCCAGACAATGATTTAGAGGTTAACGCCACAAAAATTAACAAAAACATGGAGATCGACTACCTCAGAGAAAATTGTTGAGGTTTTAGACAGATTTGTGCAGTTTTGGTAGTGTTTTTTGTTTAATTATTGTTTAGATAGGAAGTGGGGACCACAGCACCTTTGTTGGGTCTTTTTTCAGTTGCTCTTTTAAGTGTTTTATGTAGTTTTAGGTGTTAGCCGCCCTATAAGGGCACATTGGTCTTTGTACCCTTCTTTATTTTAAAAATAAAAATACCAATGAAAAGGGCGGCCAGATTATTGCTCTCTTTTCTTTCTCAAACCTCTTCTCTTCTCTCTTTCTTTTCTTCAAAAAATATTTTTTTTTCTTTTACAGATTTTTCTGATTCAGCAGTTTTCTACTTGGTATCAAAGCAAAGTTAGGGTTTCTTGGAGTTCTTCCATGCAGTCCAAGATCAGCCAATTGCATGAGGAGATAAAGGGCTGATCAATCTACTTCAGACTGCCCAGTTCTTGGATTTTTTTTGTGTTTTTCAGTCATCAAGAAGGTGATCTATGTTTTGGCATCAAAATCACAGAAGTGTGGGGAACAGTCCTACTTAAGTTGGACTCTTCAATTTTGATTTGATCTTGGGCACTTGGACCTTGTTGGACTTCTCTGGGTTTTTTATAGGGGGTGGTTAAGTTTCTGGGAGTTTTTAGGCCTTCTAGAGTGATCAATTCATTCTTCTCTTCGGTGGGAGATGGTAGGAGAAGAGAGATTTCTCTCCATATAAGATTTTCAGTTTTCTTCTTCTGGAAAGGTCAGCTACCCTTGTGTGTGAGATTGATTTGATCTTGGAGGCCTTCTACCTAGTAATTTCCTGTTTTTGAATTGTTTGAAATTGAAATGGAGGGTTGGAGTACTGAACATGGATCTAGGTGCTAGAGGTACTAGTGATATTTTTGGGTCTCGAATTATTACCACAATGAAATTGGATGGTACAAATTATTTAGAGTGGGCACAATCAGCCAAAATGGCCATTGGTGCTCGTGGAAAATTGGGGTACATCACTGGGAGGAGGAGAAGAAACTGTTAGACAGTTGTATGCCCTTAGCTCCAATCAGAATGATGTACATTATGAATTTATTGTAAACTCGTGTTAGTTTAGAATGTTCACAGCCGTTGGATAAGTCTGGGGAGATTTATCCTGCCAAGGCTAACACAGGTGTGCTGCCAAATGTTGGGGTGGCCTGTCTCAGCCGCCAGGGTGAGACCCAAGGCATAAGCAGTGTAGGATTAATTGAATCTTTGAACCGGACCAGATTTCCAGTATTGCCCTGGACCTTGGAGATTAATGGGCAAAACTGGAAAGTTACACC